ATTTGCATTAAAGAAAGTCAGACCTACTATCTATGTAACTTTGGGTAAGTTTCTTAACCTCTGTTTCCTTAACACACCATGAAGACAGTATCTGCTATAAAGGACTATTGTGAGGGTTAAATGACACTGTAATAAAGCTCCTGGTTATATTTAGCAGAGAGTGGGTGCTTCACGGGAGCTAAGGAAGACTACCAAGAATGCGATCTCATTAAGAGTGCTAGAAAATGCAGGTAATCATTACTTGCTTTGTAGGGGTAGCGCTGTAAGCAAAACACTTATTAGCCTTGCCCATTTACTGCCCAGTCTTAGGACACAAGAACCCAGCATTTGGATATAAGAATCAGAACATTTCAGGACACCTAGGTGGCTCAGTTGGTTAAGCATCTGACTCTTGATTTCATCTCAGGTCACGATCTCAAGTTCGTGGGATCCAGCCCCATGTCCAGCTCCATGCTCAGCATGGAGTCCGCTTGAGATTCTCTCTCTCCCTCTGCCCCTCCCCCGTGTGCTCGCTCCCAAAAATAGGTGGATAAATCTTAAAAAAAAAAAAAAAAAGTTTCTTTGGATGCCTAGGTGGCTCAGTCATTGAGCGTCTGCCTTCAGCTCAGGTCATGATCCCAGGGTCCTAGGATTGAGCCCCAAATCAGGCTCCTTGCTGAGTGAGGAGCCTGCTTCTCCCTCTCCCTCTGCTGTTCCCTCTGCTTGTGCTGTCTCTCTGACAAATAAATAAAAATGTTTAAAAAAGTTTCTTGTCTATCATTCCCATTAACATATACACATATGTATATGTACATATGTGTGTGTGTAAGCCCTTGCACAGTGGGCTTATACTCTACATAATAGTCTATGCTTTGATTGCTTTTTTTCATTTAACATTATCTCTTGGGAATTTTTTCATATTAACATAGATAACTCTTCCTTGTTCTTTTTTTTTTTTTTTTTAAGATTTTATTTATTTGACAGAGAGAGGCACAGCGAACGAGGGAACACAAGCAAGAGGGAGTGGGAGAGAGAAGCAGGCTTCCCGCCGAGCAGGGAGCCCGATGCGGGGCTCGATCCCAGGACCCTGGGATCATGACCTGAGCCGAAGGCAGACGCTTA